AGTGTTTGCGGCCTACGCCACTTATTTATCGGGTGAGACTGTTTTGGTGATGTATTAACTTCACGGGAGGTAGACGACCGTCCTTCACACGGACGAAAGAGGGAGTGCTCAAAGAGCGGCTCCTATGGAAGATGACAATATATAGAGAGCTACGCTCTATATATTGTCATCTTCCATAGAGCGGCTCCCACAGCAAGGAGGGGCCCCGTGAATCATTGCGTTGCCCCCTATCAAACGGTTATCTTACCAGTCTGCGTGACACAAAATCATCCAGCACATGTATCCAACAGCCATGTTCGCAGACTCACGAACAAGAAGTTCAGTAGTCCGCGTGCTGCTCATCCCGAGGACGAAGGAGCTTCTCTGACAAGGTGCACTGTGGTACTGCGGCTCCGGATAACCAAAATCCAGTCCGGTAGTTAATCCTGTCATCACACAAAACTTCTTATTCTCGTCTGTTGGCCGTCAAGAGTTGCAAGCGAGGGTTTGTTACAGGGGTCGAGACGGTTTCTGACGCGAAGACAACATCACCATCAAAACATATAGAACCGCTGAGCATCGTGTAGAGGGTTTCTATGGACGTTTCGAAAGCCATCTACCATGAGCTACAACATGCGTGACTCACCCCTAGTATACTTCGGCCACTCCGCCGGTCATTTCATTCGCCGTGTGCAGGTGAAACGTCGGCTCCGGCGAAGGAGCTCGGCCGAGAGGACGACATTCTGTCCTCGAGCATTGCCAAAACCTGGGACAACGAAAACGACTGTGCAGGCAGGGTGGACCGTGGCGGGGGAGGAGTGGGGCGAGGGTCACAGCTCGTTGGCAACAACGACCGTGAGCGCAAACTACATTTTCTAGGAACGGGTGTACACGATTTTTCAACAGGGACACGAAGCATTCACCACAACAGCATGCCTCATGCTCCGACACTCAAAGCAGATTAAAAAAATATGGTATTTAGAGACGATGAACACTCCGCTCAAAATCACGAAAAAAGCATCTGAGGAGATTTACACAAAATCAAGATGTCCATCGGTTTGCGGATGCCAGCCATAGCGAACGCCCGTTTATGGGGAGCAGAAATGCTAGTGTTCTTGAGCTGCAACGCCCTGAACTGCCACTTCACTGGCACTAACGTCAGGAGTTCTTTTCTATGTGCGGGAAGCACGACGACCGACTCAGCTGTGATACATGGATTGCAACGCGGGGGCACAATATCTTCGTGAACCCTACCCATCGCAGATGCAACACAGCATATAGGCAACTGCCTACGGTGCAAACAACAGATCTTGCTAATATCAACATCACCTCGGTTGGACGCAATGTCAGCAGTTTGGTTGTAATGACGAGCTTCCCCTGCATGGCATCACGCTAAACAAACAGACCATGTGTGAAGGACGTACAAACAAGACAGCTCAAAAACCTTGCCACGCGGGGTACGGCATACATTTGGAGAACACCCCACCCCACTACACATTGTAAACCAACACACGACGCTCTTGTTTGCGAATACCAACCATAGCGAACGCCCGTTTGTGAGGGGCAGAAATGCTGGTGTTCTGGAGCTGTAACACTCCCAACTACCACTTCACTGACACCAAGACGCGGGTTTCTTTTCTATGTGTAGAGAAGTACCGTAACCGACCCAGCTGTGATACAACCATGCAACGCGGGGGCCCACTACCTCGTGGACCCTACCCATCGCAGATGCAACACAGCATATAGGTTTCCGCCGACGGTACGCAACCGGTCAATTTCACATAACCTCAGTTGGACCGACGTCAGCAGTTTGGTTGCAATGGCGAGCTTCCCCTGAATGGCATCACGCTAAACAAACAGACCATGTGTGAAGGACGTACAAACGAGACAGCTCAAAAACCTTGCCACGCGGGGTACGGCATACATTTGGAGAACACCCCACCCCACTACACATTGTAAACCAACACACGACGTTCTTGTTTGCGAACAGCCACTTCACAGGCACAAACATCAGGGGTTTGCTATGGATGCAGAGAGGCAACCAACCCAGTTGTGATACAAAAATTGCAACGCGGGGGCCCAATATCTTTGTGAACCCTACCCATCGCAGGTGCAACACAGGATA